ACATACCAGAGAATACAGCAGCTTACCTTCACACTGAGAGGAGGAAGGTCCTCTGTTCTCTGAAGTCTCTCCAACATCATTGACATCCACTGACAGAGAGAGAGAGAGAGAGAGAGAGAGAGAATATTACTTTTTCACTTTCATGTGGTTTTTAAATGTCTCTGTGTTATGTGCTGAAGGTTATATAATTTCATCTTTGGTAGCTGATTAGTTGGAGTGTGATCTCGGTGTAACTCAACTACGAAATAATAAAGAATGTGATCAACTATAAAGACGAGTAATTATATCTATAACTTTTTTGAAATGTAATTAATTCCTATTAATAAATTACTAAAACATGATTATTATAAACAAAAACAGTAAAAAAGAAAAAGAAAAACTGTAATTAAATTTACTGACGTAAATATATTGCTCAGTCAATCAACCATCTTTAATTGTTTAGCAACTGCATTACTCTTATCTGATTGGTTATTAAATTAAAGCATAAAATAGCACACTAAATATCTGCCAGTGTCTCAAGCATCAAATAATTGATATTGATGAAGATGATTGATAAGCTGAACCTTTTCTCATAGTTAAACACTATAATCAGGCCCCCATTTGTTTTCCTTTGTTGAATACAGTAAGCTTATGTAATTTACAAGTATTGTTGTCAAAGCATTCTTTTAGACATTGATATTGATAACTTTTCATCATGAACATGTACTGACCAAATTTGAAGTTGATCAAATCAATTCCCTAGAAGGACTTTGTTAAAATACAGCAGGTTGAAATGGCTACAATTTTATGTGCCAAAATTGCACATAAAATTCAAAATGGCCGACTTCTTTTTGGGTTTAGGATATGGCTCTGAGAGACGTCTTTGTACATCTTGACTTGATACATGTGTCTACTGATTTTCCTACATCTCTGTGAAACAGGCACCGGGGCTGATTTGTTGAACATTTCTAGGGTGTGTTATGAGCCACATCCAGTGCTTTGCTGCAAAGGCCTTAAAAACAGTGTGACTGACCTTCTGGCTCTGACCTGGTGTCTGGCAGATTCTGCACCAGATCATTCCTGTTTATCTTCTTTAAAACCTTCTTGGTCACCTTCAGTGCTCCGGGAAGTTTATAGTTCTTCACCATCAGATCCGCTGTGTCTCGCCTTTCTGCCGTCTCCAGCTTGAATTCTTTGATGGCTTGGTAGCCTTCCAGGATGTCAAGCTGCTGCAGATACCATTTGAAGTCCTTGAATTCATCTGCTGTTAAATCCTCCAGAGTGTTCAAAAGGTCCTCTGGCTTCATCGTGGCTTTCTGTTAAAGTGACCACCTACCTAGAGCCGGGGTCTGTCGGTCAAGATGAAAACTGACCCAAAGTTATGCACATCATGAGCTGAAGAACAAAAGACTCTTACCTTACATTTAATGTGACAGTTTGGAGAATATAAGAACCTGGTCCAGTCACCCTGCAGTCTGCCTGCTGCTCTTAAGTCTAATAAGTTTACAAGTAATGAAGAATGAGGATCTGCAGTCGGGCTGTCTGTATGCGGAAGTGACATTTCAACTTCCGCTTTTTTAGTTCCAGTACATATTCAACGTACATTGTAGGTTACTACATTCACACAACTGCATTATATTTTGTTGTTGTGTTCAGTGGACTGAGCTGACAGATATTAAGTATTAGCCTGGTATATTTATGCATGTGCTACCTTTAAAGTTAATTTAGTAATAAAGTTATAAAAGTAGTAGTTAAAAAAGTGAGTTTAATGAGGTAAAACATTTCATTTATTTGCTACTACTTTATTAGTAGTAGCTAGCTCTGTTCAGTGATTTACTTTGTCATTAAGCTGTTATAGTGAGCTGTATTTTCTACATAGTACAGTGCTGCTTTAAGCTTTTGTGGTAATTTGAATTTAAATATCTACAATGTGCATCCCTACTTTCAACTGATTTTAATGTAGGAACTGGGGATCTAAGATCATCTGAATTTCATACGACTTGACTTGTGATTTTCTTGACCTGAGTAATGACTTGACTTACTTGACGTATAGCATTAACTTGAGACTTGCTTGTGACTTGCACATGTGTAACTTACTCCCACCTCTGGTAGATACAGGACAGACATCAGTGCTGTAGATACAGGGCAAAGGTCCACACTGTAGATACAGGTCAGAGGTTTGTACTGTCTATTTGATCCATATAATAGTAACAATAATGATATTATTAATATTAACTTTTGTCATAAGTTTCAGTGAAGTCCAGTTGTTATTGTTGATACATCTTCAGTCTTCATTTAGCTTATTATTAATTTTCCTTATCCGTTTTTGGGACTTTTTTCTCTTTTTGGACCTATATCTCTTGATCAGAGGGTTAGGATTACAACTGATTTTAGGTGGTATCTTCAGATGTGTATCAAGCACACTTCTTGCTGGCACTTTTATTTTAATCACTTATTCTAGTTTATTTTGGCACACACTGCTATGTATTATGTTTTTAACTTTGGTGTGATACTGTTTTTAATAGTATCTCTGATTGTTGGTGTGTTTGTATTTGTTAACTCATATATTGCTACTAATCTTATTCTTTATTGCTGCAAAAATTGTGCTATACAAATAAAGTTATTATTATAATTATTATTGTAGTAGTAGTAGTAGTAGTAGTAGTAGTAATAGTCAAATGAGTGTTTGTTGATTTCAAGAGAATATCCCGCAAGACAGCAGGAGATTGTGAATGAATCCTAGCAGCCATAGTCATATGGACGTGCATCACTAAGACCAGGTGTAGTTAAGACTTGGCTTAAGTTTGGTTAGTACAACCAGAACAAAGTCCATTCTTAGGACCAGGTTGCAACCCATCCCTGAAGCTAATATGATGTTTCAGCAGTTGGACAAATCAAATTAGTAAAAACTTTCAGAATACAGTTTCCTCGACATGTTTGCTCCGGTGGAGGGACAGGAACAAGAAGAGCACATTTCAAAATAAAAGATTGCAACTTTGGAAGACACCCAATTCTTTTTTTCTCAACTCTGAGTGTTCAACTTACACAGAAAGACAGCTGCTTGTCAGATATATATATATATATGTATATATATATATGTATATGTATATGTATGTATATATGTATATGTGTATATAT